ATCTAAAGGTTCTCTCATAGTCATGAAAGGAGTTAGAAAGAATGGACTATACTCACTAGTTGGAAGAACCGTGATCGGCAACTTCTCAAATGTTGTTCAATCAGAACCTGACAGGACCAGACTATGGCACATGAGACTGGGGCATGTAAGTGAAAGAGGCTTGCAAGAACTGTCCAAGCAGAGTCTATTATGTGGAGATCGGGTCAGCAAACTGAAATTCTGTGAAACAATGTGTTTTGGGGAAGGCCACCAGGGTGAAGTTCTCTACCGGAACTCACTCATCAAAGAAACCCCTTGACTATGTTCACAGCGATCTATGGGGGCCAGCCAGAACTCAGACTCATGGAGGAGGGAGATACTTCATGTCCATCATAGATGACTATACCAGGAAGGTATGAGTTTTCATCCTTAAATCAAAGGATGAAGCCTTTCAGAGATTCAGGGACTGGCTAACTATTACAGAAAATAAGATGGAAACCAAGCTGAAGCACTTGAGAACTGACAATGGCTTAGAGTACTGTTCAGAGCAGTTTGAGGAGCTGTGCAGGAGGAATGATATCACAAGGCACAAGATAGTCCGGAACACTCCTCAACAGAATGGTCTGGCTGAGAGGATGAACAGGACTCTCCTAGGAGAGTGAGAGGCATGCTGCTAAATGCAGGTCTACCCAAAAGTTTCTGGGGTGAAGCTGTGTCAACCGCCTGCTACCTTATCAACAGATGCCTATCAACTGTTATTGATATGAAGACACCTTCGGAGATGTGGTACGGGAAACCAGGTAACTATGATAATCTCAAAGTTTTTGGATGTACTGCATATGCTCATGTTAGACAGGATAAGCTGGAAGCAAGGGCTCTGAAGTGCATTTTCATTGGATACCCACCTGGAACCAAGGGCTACAAACTCTGGTGCCTAGATCAACAAAAATGCATCATCAGTAGAGATGTGGCATTCGATGAGTCCAAAATGGCGAATCTGTATAGCCATGCTGCCAAAAACAGCATCACTAAGAAGGATTCTTCAATTGAGGTGGAGCTGCAACAACAACGAACTTTGACAGATCAAAGGATTGTTGTGAACAATCAAGATGAAGTGGCAGAGGAGCAGCAAGTGAT